AAGGCCAGGGCGGGGGGAGCGGCTCCCACCTTCCCCAGCTCTCCTCCTCTGCCTGATGCTGCCATCGCCAACACCTCGCCAGGCCAGAGGGAAAGCGGAGCTGGCCAGACCCTGGGCCTTTTGGTGGTTTGAAGGGCTGGGAGAGCCCCGCTTGCTCAGATTTCACCCTCCTAAGCAACTTTTAGAGTTTGCACGAGAGCTCGGGGCGTGCAGCGAGCCTGCCCCGTGCGTGTGTGTGTGTTGGAGGTGTGGGAGGAGAGAGGCTCTGGCTCTCTCCCGGTGGCCTGAAGAACCAGCTGGAGGAAGGAGGCAAGAGGAAAAGAAAGGCAGCCCAGCTTTCGGGCCCACACGTCCTCTCCCAGGCCTGCGGGAGCAGCTCCGAGGCATGTGTGCGTGCGTGAAGGGGCTGCGTGAGCGCTACGGTGCGTACGTGGAGATGTTGTGTGGGTGTGTGCGACCGGGAAGGATTCGCACCCTGGAGTATATCGCAAATCTCTGCTCTGACGGCAAAACCTGAGGTGCCTCTCACACCCCCTGTGCATGCTGGGTGCTCGTAGGTGCACTGCAGGAGGGGGCAGGCCCTGGTACATGGTGAGCAGGGCCAAGGTGCACCATGTAAGTTAGGTTTTGCATCCCATCTATGCATTTCCTTATCGCGCTGCTGGTCCCAAGCATCCCTGGGGGCCTGGAGCCATCCTGCCTGCCAGCCGCTCCGCACCCTGACGGATTCATCCTTCTCCTCCCTCCCTTTCCCCCGGCGCCACAGCCTCCGCTCCGTCTCCAGCCCTTCGGAAGGCAACACCCCACCGTGGCCACGCTGTGTTTATCCGAAATAAAACGCAGCGGGCTGGTTTACTTTGGCTGGTTTGCAGTAAATACCGGCTGGAGCACGGGGGGCGTCTGGCGAGCGGCGATTACATGCTTCTTCCGAGGGAAACTCTTCCCCGCCCTGTGCAGGCCCTTCCCCAGCCCAGCAAAAGGTGTCAGTAAATGAGGGCCGTGTTGACGCAGCTCCATCCCAGAGTGGCACTGCAGGCCA